CTCCTGGTGGCCCTGCATGCCAGGGCTGCCTGGTCTGCTCCGTGGCGAGCGTGGGGAGCAGGTAGGTGGAGCACAGGCCAGCGGGCTCTTCTCCCCGAGAAGCATGGATGATGTTTCTTTTCCTCCAGTGCTCCAGCAAGGGTTTCCTCTTGCGTGCAAGAGCTCTCCCCATAAGAAAGCCCTGAGGGAGGGGGATCCATCTACTCCTCGAGGGGTGTTGCACGTGGCCTGGGAATTGTGGAGAGCTGCCAGGAGCCAGCCAAGAGGTCACCAGGCCCCTCTCCAGCTTTGGCGAGCTCGACCAACACCTGGCCCCCACGTTGTTCCCTGGCCCCCTTCCAGTGCCCTGCAGTTCACTAAGGCAGCAGTGAATGCCAACAGGCAATGGAAACGTTTCTCATCTGTGCTTGCTTCTAGACGAGGGTGATGGCAATGGTTATGCAGCTTCTCAGCCGGATGTTGGTTTGGAGCCCTTGGGGCACGCTGGAGGTAAGTTCTGAGTGTCCCTTTCCTTGAAGGAATAAACGTTGACAATGTGGGAAGAACCTATTTGCATGCAGTTTTCCTTAAGATCCTCTGAAGGTCAATGGCTTCCCAACTTCTTGGCCTATTGCTGTCCTTGAGCCTGAGACCAATCCCACAGGCAAGTCAGCGGGAGGAAGGAGCATTTGCCTTTTAATCTTCTTTCCATGTGAAAAGCAAGTTGCTCCCTGTGTGGCCACTGCGCAGACACGGGGAAGAGCAGGGAGGGACTGGGTCGGGCTCAGTGATGTGCAGTTCTGCCGATGCAGATTGCAGTAGATGACGGAAGCTTCTCTGGCCGTTCAGTTACAGATGTGCTCGTAAGGAGGGCTCTTCCAGCTCCTCGGCTGGATGCTGTGCTACAGCCCGGCCGGCATCGCAGGGGTGAGTAGTCTGTCTCTGCCGACCTCACAGGCTAAGCACTGGGTTTCCGTCATTTATTCACGTGAAATTGAAGCAAATACTTTCTGTTAAGGTCCTCGAAGAGCAACGTACCAAGCTGAAGGAGGAAAAAGGTGCCTGGGGTCATGTGAAGTCCTAAGGCAAATACTGGAGGAACTGCGGAGAGGACACGGTGGGTATATTTCACTCTGCCTTAGCTGTGAGTCTCAGCAACCGGAGGTTTTAGATACCCGTTTGGACGCACTGCGGCCTGCGCAGCAGGAAGGGATCGATCAGAGCCTCGCAGCAGCGATGCTGGGTTTCACGCCTCGCAGGCAGGCACTGGCGAGCTGCAGAGATGATGCAGAGCCTGTGTTGCCAGTTGTGGTTCCAGCCAAGTGCCAGGGGCAGCTGCTGACCCAGTTTTACCGTTACAGCTCAGAGCTGGTTTGTGCAGACGTCTGCATGCGCGTTTGAGGGCCTGGCGTGCGTTGAACTTCTTGTGTTCAGCTGACGCGCAGCAGTGCTTGCCCACTGGACCGGTTCCAGGTGGAAGTGAGGTCCCAGGCAATGCTGGTTGCCCTTCCCTAGTGCGGGAAGTCAGGTGGCGATGCTGATTCTGCAGTCTTTTTGGGTTGTGCTCGCTTTCCCATCTGCAGACCGATAGCTGGGATGGGACAAATGTGACTGTTGCTGGTGCTTACAGGAAGGGCAGGGGGCCTTGCGGAGGAGCCCTTCTCAGAAGGGCTGCTTCCCTGGCTGGCCTGGATGCAGCTTCTTCCCGTCCTCTTTGACAGAAGGCATTAGCATCGTCTTACGGTTTCCCAAGAATGCCCTATGTGCAATGCAAACCAGAAGATCACGTGCAATTCCCTGATCTCCCAGCAGGTCAAGCGTGGCTGTTGTTTGGAGTAGGGACCAGGCGCAGCCCCAAAAGCCTTTCGCGTTGCTTCTAAACTTTATCAATGTCTTTGAGAAGCATTGCCTCCTGAAGGTGCCATCTCCCTGATGGGCAATGGTTCCATCCAATCCAGCTGTCCCTCTTTCTTTTTCAAGAGACAGACCAAGAGGCTGTGAAAAACAAGATGTTTCCAGAAAGAAGCAGCGGCTCACTGCCAGTCCCTGCTGAAGAAACAGTGGCAACGCAAGCCATCAGCACGCCAGGTAATTGCTGTCCTCTGGTCAGCCAGTGTCACCCATCAGGATCGACGTGTGTCACAGCAGGCTCTTCCCCCAGTCCCTGCTCTTGCCCATCACATCAGCAGCCAGAGTGTTTTGGGTTCGAGGCACCTGGACCACATTCCGCAGATGATGAGAAATGTGACTTTTGCGTGAACGTACCTCCCGCTGTAGCTGCATCCCAGAGCTCGCTGTGAGTCCCTAGAGGCCCAAGGCACACGAGCGGCACAGAGAGGGATCCCTCCCGTCAGCTGAGGTCCAGAGCGGTGCCCTGACTCCCAGGCTGGGCAGGGGCTTAGAGGGAACCTCCCCGACCTCCTGCATCCTCTGTGCCTGAAGAAACCATGCTGAGGCTTTACCTGTTGTCTCTGCTTTTTGGCAGTGCTGCCAAGGCCCAGAGAAGACCGCCAGAGCAGCGTGTATGAATTTTTTCGAACGGACTCAGGTACTGAGCTGTCTTGCTGGGGTGCCTAAGTGGGAGACGCATCCTGAAACCTGGGAGTGGCTTGACAAGGGTGCCATGCTGGAGAAAAGGGAGAAGGGCAGAGCAAGGTTCAGGTGCCTCTTGAGAAGGCCTGACTCCGTGGCACTCCCTGCTGCAGGGATGTTTTCTGTCCATGTCCCTCAAAGGAGCGACCGGTCAAGCAGCTGTGCTCCCCCTGCCCCGTGCTCTCCTTTTGGCCTTCCGAGTTTTGTTCCGTGGGACAACCTGGCCCAAAGGGTGGGAACGTGCCTCCAGGCACCAGCACTGTGGGGAAACGGGGAACTTCCTGGTCGTACCAAAGGTGCTGCAAGCTTACCAGTGGCACACAGGATGGACTAATGTCCTGAATTGCTCCTCCAGGTGCTGTTGGTGAGAGAATCCCAAGTGTTTCCAGTCCCCAGAGCACCACAAGAGGTCGCTGGCCCCAAAATGCGCAAAGGCACTGCATGGTGGCAGCCGTGGTTTCCCTGCCACTTGCGATATTGTTGTGCTTTGTCGTGATCTGTCTGCGGACAAAGAGAAAACAGTGAGTCATTGATTTCTCCCCCCACCTCACTGCTTCCTTAGGTGGCTTCTCGTAGCCACAAAGCGTTTCTAGTCAGGCTGCTGTGGAGTGGCGAGTTAGTGGTTGGCCAAAAAACTCTGCTGAGGTTTCGGCTGCTGTCAGGTGCTTTTACCAGCCTCTTAACTCCTGGGCTGCCTTCTCGGGAGCCCACTCTGACTGGAGCCGGTGTTGGCCCCAACGGGCCCTGCCTGGACAAGAGCAGCCCCCAGCAGCGACGGGCATAAGCAAAGCAAGATCAGGAAGAGGAAGAGCAGGGG